CCGCATTGTTCACTTTCTATAAGAGATTAAGACAATTGAGAACATTCTCGGGATTGCTCGTGAAAACAGCAACCACCTGCAGACAGGCCACTGCCTCGTTCAATCAAGCAAGCTGATGGCGGTTTTGACTCTTTGACATACTTTGGTATAAAAACACGAATGAACAATTCGTTGATAATTCCATTGGCGGGACAGAATCCTCGAGAGCAGAGTATTTCTTGCCAATGTGCGACTCCGAAAATTTTGCATTCCGTTTGCACGTGTGCCAAGACCTCACATACAGACACATGAAAGTTTTAGCCGACCAGAAAATCCCAGCAGTAAAGCAATGAAAACTTTTAACAGCAAACGCCCATTGCTGCACGACAGCAGTGTACATTCATTTCGAGAATGCACTGAAAGTTGAAAATATGGGTGGAAAAATTCCACCCTCTTCTTCGCACACTCTTGGCTTCTTTGAATAATAACTGATTTGGCACTCCTTCCTGAGTATCCCAGCAGTCTTCACCTCTACCCTCAGGCAACTTTCGAAAAACGGATCATCGATAAAACATCTCTAGCTGTGTTCTTTAAGTAAAAATGTTGCTTCTTGAGCCATAAATGTGCTTCATTTGGAATATCTACAAGGCTTTTTGCAAATATAAATCTGTAAGACTAGTAATGGTCGGAAGTGAATAGTATTTGAACACTGTACCTGTTGCGGAAGGGTGAGGGAACGGGGGTGAGAACAGAGAACGGGTTTGGGGGAGAGAAATGCGGGACGGGTTTGAAAAGAAGGCGCGTGCCAAAGAGGGAAAGAAGTTGAATAGTGCAAACGCTGATGCGGTACCAAAACAGCATGGTCTCATTTTTATGTGTTTTTGCATATATGTAAACTGCAAAAACGAATATTGGGAAGAGGCTGTGTGTGTGTCTGTGTCTTCGCACTTTTTGTCACCCGCTTTCAACTCGAGAACCAAAAAAGCTAGAAGGCTGAAACTTTGGGAGTATGTGCTCATACCATGCGCGACCTTTCCATTTTAATATCTTCCCCCGCGGACGCCTGGGCGCCGTGTACAGGCCCTTTAAAAAAAAAATGCAAGTTTTTTGGCGGGAAAGCGATCTCGGAAACCATACGAGCTAGGGGCTGAAGCTTTGTAGGGATATTCCCTGTGTATGCACTAGCTAAAGATTTCAAACTCAGCCCCAAGGTATGCGTGGTGCTTACGTAAGGGCGTATGAAAGTTTTAGGAATTGCTAGCTTGGGTACCAGGGAAGCTAGAAAGCTGAGATTTTGGGGGAATGTTTCCTATCGAAATACAACTCAAATATTTCAGATTCAGCCCCAGGCTAAGCATGGTACTTACGTAAGGGCGTATGAAATTTTTTGCAGGAAAATTTCTAACTCGGCAACCAGAAGAGCTGGAAGGCCGAAATTTTAGGTAGATGTTCCCTGTCCACGTGCAATTTAAAAGTTTCAAATTCAGCTTTCCAGGCCCTTGGAGCACCCAAGTACAGGCATGTGAAGGTTTTGGCGGGAAAATTGCTAACTCGGTAACCAGAAGAGCTGGAAAACTGAAATTTTGAGGAAATTTTCCCTATCCAAGTACAACTTAAATATTTCAAATTCAGCCTTGAGGCATGAGTGGTTCTTACGTACGGCCACTTAAAAGTTTTGGCAAAAAAATTTCTCTCTGAACAATTAGGTTACTTTTAAAGAACGACTGTTAATAAATGGGAATTGTACGTTTACTTTGCAAAATTTACGGTGATTTATGCTAGTGACTGCAAGGTAGGTATAAAGCAACAGCCATTCATACAGTTAATGACCTGAGTAATTCAAGCCCGGTGCAATAACGCATGATCGCACTGGCCCGCCCGGTGCGTTCCAGTCTGGGTTTCGCTTTATTTTCTGGAATGAATAATGTTGCATCTGGAATGAGTAATGTTGCATCGATGTACTACTGCGTGAGACATGGACGTGCATTTTATTACTGAACGCATTGGCTTGTGTATGTACAGTGAGCATTGCAATTTGGGCATCGGACACTGAGTCTTCTTTTTACATTTCCACTGAATTGATGATATCTCGAAGTTCAGAAGTCTTGTAGATTTTGTCAATATCCTGGAAATTTTCAAATTCACTTTTTCAAAAAAATTTTCATGAAAATTTTTGACGCAGGGAAAATTTCATGGAAATTTTTTTCAACTCAGTTTATTCCTCTCTCTTACTTGGGGCGGTGTCACTGTCTTACATAAGAGCGTTTTGAAACAGAGGTGAGATTTTTTTAGGAGACTCACCCGCAGTTCGCTGATCCATATTTTTTTCTTCTTTGACCGTCCCCGCTTCTTTGCCTTTTTCGAATCGCTTACTGAGGACAATCGATGATCTCGAGCGGATGCGGCAAAACGAGCTTCCATCTGAAAATTTGAACGCTCTGTTTTATCTTTAGACCGGACTGCTATGTACAATATGAAGGGGTGAGTTATTAGCTTGTGATCAAAAGGCAAAACGCTTCCCTTGTAGAAGACGGAAGCACATGTAACTAAGCCGAATGGTAGCATGCGGCCAAAAGCAATCATCCGCTAGCAGCGTTGCCGATGGCTCTCTTTTAAACGATAACTATGAAAACATTTCAAAAGTCCAGTTTGTTAACACAAAACTGACAGTGCGGAGCAAGCGATTTACCTGCTCGAAAGTATTTTCTTTATCGTATCCGAGCAAAACATCGATATCGTACGGTTTCCGGATAAACCGATTTCGTCGGTGTACACAGCTCTGTCGATGCAGTGCTGGCTGCAATTGTTATTTTTATGAAACGACTTTGCAAAGATATTTTTGGGCAAGTACAGTCTCTAAGCTTTTCGTCTTGTGCACTCGAAAACATTTTTCCCTGTTCTGAAATGAACTGTAGCTGAAAACCCGTGGATTTGTCAAGGGACATTTCTGAGAGCTGATTTTTCTCTGTCTTTTTTACCGCGACCAAAATCCGTTGACAATTTTTGTTGGCATTAGCCGAGAATCGTGAGGGGTTCAATGTCTCGGACGTACGAATAAGGTTTTCTAGATAGCAAGGTGCCTCAACGTGGTCTAGAATTGACAGCACTTAGAA